GCAGGAATTTTAAGAGAGGGGCATTTTTGTCTTATTTATTTGCTTAACTTCATTACTATTACAGTAAAATTACTATTAAAGTGTAGACTATTCAGACCTCTCTCCTGACACGGGTTTCTACAATAACCCGGATAAGAGGATTGCAACTAGGTGATACATGACTCCAGTGGGCTATTCATATGGGGGCTAAAGCCTCTTGGAAGACTGTGACCCAAAGGAGATACAAGACGATTTAGCAAGATCCAGTTGACTAAGAAGAGCAGAGTACAAATAATTTGGATAACCAATCACAGTTCTCAAGTGTTGATGGAAAACTCCCCAAAAACTTGAGGCAGAGTTGCAGACCTGAGATCAACGCAAGGGATGGTAAACTGTTCTACAGGCCCACATGGAGAACCAAATCAGTGAGGCTCTACTTAGATCTGAATCTAAACACAGTGGAAATCCCAGTAATTCAGAACTATATGACAAGCTCTTCCACCTGTTTTCACTGCAGACAACGCATAAACCAAAATTTAGTTTAAAAAACCACAGTAAAAATGTAAATCTTGTACTTCATTGTGCTAAAGCACAATAAAGCACTTGGAGAGACGTGGGACAGACGTACCACTCGGTAGATAAGGAACTGGCTGGATGGTCGCACTCAAAGAGTTGCGGTCAACTGCTCAATGTCCAAGCAGAAACTGGTGATGAGTGGCATTCTGCAGGGGTCTGTATTGGGACCAGTGTTGTTTAACATCTTTGTTGGAGACATGGATGGTGGGATTGAGTGCACCGTCAGCAAGCTTGCTGACAACACCAAGCTGTGTGATACAGTTGACACACTGGAGGGAAGGGATGCCATTCAGAGGGACCTTGACAGGCTTCAGAGGTGGGACCGTGCAAATCTCATTAAGTTCAGAATGGCCAAGGGAGAACCCCAAGCACAAATCCAGGATGGGAGGAGAACGGATTGAAAGCAGCCCTGAGGAGAGGGACTTGGGGGTGTTGATTGATCAGAAGCTGAACATGAGCCGGCAGTGTGCACTTGCAGCCCAGAAAGCCAACTGTGTCCTGGGCTGCACCAAAAGCGGTGTGGTTAGCAGGTCGAGGGAGGTGATTCTCCCCCTCTACTCTGCTCTTGTGAGACCCCACCTGGAGTACTGCGTCCAGCTCTGGAGTCCTCAGCACAGGCAGGACATGGACCTGTTGGAGCGAGTCCAGAGGAGGGTCATGAAGATGATCAGAGGGCTGGAACAATTGAGGCCTACAGGAAACCTCGAGAGGGACTTCTTATAAGGGCATGTCATGACAGCACGAGGGGTAACGGTTTTTAAGCTGAGAGAAGGTAGATTTAGATCAGATATTAGGAAGAAATTCTTTACTGTGAGGGTGGTGAGACTGGAACAGGTTGCCCAGAAGCTGTGGATGCCCCATCCCTGGAGGTGTTCAAGGCCAGGCTGGATGGGGCTTTGAGCAACCTGGTCTAGTGGAAGGTGTCCCTGCCCATGGCAGGGGGGGTGGGACTAGATGATCTTTAAGGTCTCTTCCAACCCAAACCATTCTCTGATTCTATAAAAACACAGAGACACAAAAAGGAAATATCTAGCCACTTCAGTTTCTCAAATACAGTGTGTAATTGAAGAGAAAGTTCTGTTCAATGCAAGGTATTCCTTTGCAATCAAGCTCCTTTTAAAGAACAGATGCTTACAAAGAAAGGCAACACAGATGTGTTTGAAGTTAATACAACAGAATAAAGGCCTTCAGCAATGATATAATTATCTGTTCTTAACTGTTGAAGTTATCTATGTCAAAATACAAAGATATTAGAAAATCAGAAGAAAAAAAATGAAGCTATCAACTACCCTTCCCACCTTTAAGCAAGTTTTTAGCTGCTCGGTGCCAAATACTAGCAAGCCTCCTTTTGCACTGTGAGCTCTGAGGAGTGTTAATGCTTTGGGACTATGAGGTTTCTCAGCATGTCAAAAGAGTTGCCATCTGGGTGCACAGACTCTACACCTTTGCCTTCTTCATGAACTTGAAGGAATCCATAATCATCTATCCCGACTATCCACGCAATCGGGCCCTCCTCATTGTGAAGACGAACTTGCTTACCACTGCAAATAAAGAGAACTAGATAGTCAGGAATTAATTGGTGGACACCGCACAAACACTTAAAAATAGATTATAGGACTAATGTCTAGCAGAATATTTTTATTTCCCACTTTACTAGTTCTTTACAGAGAATGATTTTCAGCAGCACTTTCTAGCTGCTTTAATTTCTTTCTGTGTAATCAACAGAGTTGCAGTTAAGCCAAACAGTGTATTTTTTTGTAAAAGACATGAGTACAGCAGCTACATCACTAGCTAAACAAATAATTCCCAATTCCATTTGTTTTGAGATGATACACGTAAAATATCTAGAAGCATTCTTCAACTCATGCTAGTCCATTGATTTTACCAAGTGCTATTTTTAATCTCCCTTTAAAAATTACATCCTACATGGGAGCACATTTTAATCAAATCACTAGTTTTAAAAGCAACCCAGTAGAAAAAGAGAAAATATCTGTGAGTTCTTCCCAACTTGATTAAAAGAAAGTTCAAGAAGAACATTATACTTACGTGTGTATCCAGTACTTGTAGTAACGGGGAAGAACTCCGTTTGGCCCCTTCTCCTGAAAAATATCTATAAGCCTCTCTAGCACAGTTACAGTTCTTGCAATAAGACAGTCTGCAGTTAAAGGCTTCAGCTTTGTCCCCTCTTCCTTATTAAATTTTGCGATGAGATCATTGATGCATATGGTGGGGTTGCTGTTATTCACATTAAATCCAAAGCCTGAAGAGGACAAACCAAAAAAAAAAGGACAGGATCTGTAAGCAGGAACACTTTTTTACTACTAGAAAATCAGTACTTTATTCAACTATTGGATACAATGATCTCTAAGGATCTTTCCAGTAGCTGTTTTTCTTCAGCCTCTTATACCTTTAAATCTTCTGACTTGTGTAATTACAAATCTTGGTCCAGATTTTACTTTTTCCTTGCCCTTAAAATGCCTCCTCAGAATTGTAGAAGCAAATCCACTGCAGTCTTTCAACAACACACCATCTTGTCAATGAGGGTTAGGAAGATGGTTAAGTGGGGAGTTGCACGGCTGTTACAACAACATCGAAGTGCAAAATTCTTTCACTCTCTGGAAGCTGCAGGTCATTAGCTAATTGAGAGTAAATAATTTATCATACTCTAAGATGGAGATTTATCTTTCAGTCTAAAATTTAATTACAAAACCTTTCCGTTTACTACAGTTAGCTGATTGCATTTTCTGAAAATTAAGCCTTTTGACTCAGCTGTGAAGCCTTGCTTGGCTTGCTCTGAAAAGCCAAGAAGATTTAACTTTGCTGTGTAAAACTCCAGTTTGCTTAATCTATCTTACAATAGTATATCCTTTAGAAGCCTCAAGTCTCTCACTGAGATTTCTCCATCTAGAATAACGCTGGCAGAATGCCCTTCTTATTTAAATATGGCTCTTGGGGCCTTTTTTGCAGCCTCCTGAAACAGGCTTTGAGGGATGTAAAAAAATATATTGTATTACCTGTTTATTTTTTTCTCCTAATAATTTGGATTTTTCTTTCCTCAGACATTTGGGATAAAACCCCAGTCTGTCAATCAGGTTTAGACATGATACACCTCCATCTGCAAGAAGGTCCAGATGCACTGTTTACTTGAAAATTTGCTATTAATGAGACTATTCATATATTGAAGTAATTCATATTAACTATGAGGAGAAGGCTCTCTTCAGCAGAAAGGAGTTTTTGACTTTTAGTCAGAGAATGCATGCAAAGAAAGCCACAGTAATACCAGCACCAACATACTGATCCTATGGAAATGAGGATAAATGTATTATCAGAAGGAGACAAAGGAAAATGATCTGGAAAAAATAATGTGCCATGCCAGCAAATCCCAACTCAGCTGTTTACACTGAAATATAGTAGAAGTGAAGAGAGAGTGACGTGGCCATCAACCTGTGATTAGTACTGTCAGGGTCCATAATGGGGCCTTGGAGTCCCTCTGCAGGCTCAGGGCACTCAGGCTTGTATGTATGGAGATCACTACTTAGCAATCCAAAAATCGAAACAGACACAAAATACTGTGACGACAAGCTCAGTTGAGGCAGAAGCATCTGGGGATATATGCAGTTGTAAAAATGTAGCCAGGTGATTCTAAAAATATTGGGTGCTCGGGACTCTTAGGGCATCTCTGCCTTGCCCATGTGAGAAGACTGAAAAATAAACATTTAGCACCGACCCTGCAGTCTGCTGATGTGGCTAATCCATCCTCCAGTTCTAGAGCTAGCCCTGCCTTCAGCATCTGTGCACTGTTCGGACATGCCTTAGCTGCACAGAGAGGCAGACAGAGCTTTTGCAGGCCAAGCATGCTGGCTGTCCCTTGCATTCCACTTGTGTTTGGCTACCTACATCTGTACTGAGTCTGGCCCTTACATTAATGAAGTATTTTTCTGCAGAACTCTTCTTCCAAAAGTCCTGCAATAATTAAGCTCTTGAAAATAAAATTATTTTTTTTAAAACACGTTTAAAAGTATGAACATGAACTGTGTCGTCTGTGAGACCTTGAGAACACGGTACAGGTGAAAAGGCAGGTTTGTCGTTTGCCTTATTCTTCTGAGGTACTTCTCATGGCAGTGAAGCCATAGAGATGACCTTTGATTTTGATCATTACCCCTCACATACAGGATACTCTTCACGAGTGCCACGTAAACACTGAGGTCTAGGAAAGGAATCTGCATGACTGTAGAAAGGCAATAATGCATCTGGCTTACCTTCCCTGTTGTAGAAGTTTGATCTCATTGCTACTACTAATACAAGTTAGATGTCCTGAGTCACCCCTGCACTCTCAGTAACATACATCACTGAAATGATGGAAAAAATCCTTGGACTAGTATGTGGCAAGTAAGTTCCAATCTTAGAAGCTTCCAGGTGAAAGGAAGTTGATGAAAATGTACATTTTTGCATATACCTCAGACCTTTCACCATGAAGACGACTCCTATGGACATCAGAAAGCACACATACAGAAAGTTTCCATTTGAATTTGAATGTTTGAGTGTTTAGGGTAAGAAACACAAGGTCCAAAACAAATATGCAATCTGCAAAGAGGTATTTGATAAGATGAACAATTTATGGACCCATTTTTGCTTTTCTTTTGTTAACCAGAACAGACTCTGGAAAAACATATGGAAGCCGTAAATGGTTGACGGAGCACAGAGAGACTTTTTAAGTGTCTTGGTGCAACTTCCATGCTGTACATGTAGACTATTTACAAGATGAGGATATAATAACTGAACAGAAAATGCAATGCCTGGGTATGTTTCACAGAAGGAGGTGATGACTGATTCAACTGTTTTGCTTGTTCACGCCTTAGAATTTACAGCACCTTGACAGAAACTATATGCCCACACTCTCTTTGCAAGATACTTTAATTATCTACTGTGCTATATTCAAATATAAACCAAATATTATCAACATCTTCTCTAACCTTTTAGATTTTCTTAGGAACTTTCATTTAATTTTTAGACGTCCCACAGATAACTGTTTTTGGAACAAGAACCTTGAGCTCTTCTGGTACGTTTCTGAGCATGTCTGACAGGTCTGTGCTGCTGCTGCTTAGGGGAAAGATTTTCCATAACTAATAGCAGGATGATTATCAGACCCGAAACAACAGAAACATCTCAATACTTATTTGTGCACCTAAATGTCTTCTCCTGTTACAGCCCTAGGACTTGCTGGAAAATACATGTACAGTGGTTTTGAGATTGGCTGTGCTACCTTTTTGGAACCAGCCTTCCAGGTAGACTGTTCATCTTCACAATGAACAGACTGTCACTCTTTGCTCCTTGACCCAGCCTTCCCAACTACTTTGCAAATTTTACTTTCTGAGAGAACTAAAGAAATTAATCAAATCATTACTTCATTGCTGGTCCACTAGCAATATTCCAATTTCTAGAGAGGTACCAAGAGAAATAAGTTATGAATAAATTTTAAAACGATGAAAGCAGAAATTGAAACATGACTACGTGTACATAGCTATTTTTCTCCTGATTTAAAAGGCATGTTATTTATTCAACTGTTTGTCATGTTGAAAAAAATGGATACATATTTCAGTGTATTCTCTTAGTTCTGCAACACATCAAGGAGGACATTTTCCCCTATCTTCTGTAATGTTCTTTCTCTGAACTCCACTACACCAGCCCAGATGCTTGCATTTAGTTTTTCCTTGTCAAGCATATGGAATTATTAAGAAGAATGAAAACATCTACTTTTTGTGCTTCCTTTTGATTTAATATTGTGTTTTAGTTCCTTATGCCTGCTATCATTATTTGGTTTTGTCCTTATTATTTGAACTCATAAAGACATCAATAACAAATTTCTTCAGAAAAAAAAGGATACAGAAAAGTTTGAAAATAGACATTTACCAATAAGTATATGAAATGTTGTTTCAATAAGTGTAGAGTTTACCAGAACTCCACCAAGCTTCATAAGATCACTGTAGTAAATATCATTTGGCCATTTTACTCGCAGATCAACATCCTAAAGAAACAAAAAAACACATTTAGAAACACTTTGCTCTTTGATACTGATTATAAGAACATGGCTCATTCATCACTCTATATTCTATATTTTCCGTATCTCTTTGCCACACAGAATGTGATACTGTCAACTGCTCTTCATAATGAGAACCTATTTAAGTGCTCTATGAATGTTCCTGAAAAAGCTATAGTGGCATGGTTACATGGTTTACTAAGGAGGTTTGGCAGCTGACAGAGAAAAGTGTCCATTTATTTAAAAAAAAAAAAAATTATGGCAGATAATGAAGGCTTAGAGCGACCAAAAGAGGGACTAAAGATATTAGAGATTTTTAGTCTCAAAATCATGTGGCTTTATAGAATTCATTACCTTCATTCATTAGTTTAAAAGATCTGTCGAAAAAAGATGCAAACTGTGGCAGCCACCATGGCTCACTGCTGATCAACAATCAGGGTAAGCCCACAATAACACCAACACTGTATTTGAGGATCCTTGCAGGAACCAGACAAGGAGACAATGACATCTTGAATTTCAGAAAGGAAACTTAGTAGACATGAGAAATTCCAGTTCACAACTATGTAAATACTTCAGTAATGTCCTAAATATATTCAAGCTTGCAGCAGCTACACTTAGGCAACACCACGGAGCTAGAAACACAAACTGTGCTGTGTGACACCATTCCACTGCAATAGAGAAGTTTTTGTTGAAACCACAAAACTGAACTGAACTTTGCACTGGCTACTTAAACACAAAAAGAAAGTAAATGTGCTTCCTGTAGTTTGAAAAACTGCATATGACTGTATCCCCAGAGGCAAATTATGGGAGGTGCTCCAGGACTACAAGAGTCGCATTCCCTCCTATTGTAGATTATGAAATCCCTTTACAGGATGTGTGAAAACTGCACCTGGGTCCATGTCTACTTTCCTGACAGATTTAAAGGCCAGAAAGGAGTCCATTACACATACATTGACAGGAAATACTACCTGATTTTGCTATCAAAGCATTCTAAGAGAGAGAATCACCAATTCATATTCATTATGGAAAACAACTTGACTCTTTGCACTGGGAAAGGATTTATAGAAGACTCTTGAGACATGTGAAATATGACACAGTTAAAACAGTATTATCCAGGTTAAGAGATCTTCCGAAGACCTATTCAGTAGAACTTACTTAAGGAAAACATACACCTGTAGGACACCAGACACTAGCTCTGCAACTGAAGTGACAGCAAGCATGAAGAACAACCAAGTCAACTGAGTATTCTCATTACATAAACTACACAGCAGAGACTTTGCCACAAAATGGAGTTATGAGGTACTGCACAACTATCCGCATGTCAAAGAAACGATGGGCATCACAAAATATGCTGGAAATGGAGCACGTTCCTACCTTCACTTACTAGAGATATTTGCTGCTCTCAGAATGGGAAAGCAAAGCATTGTCTTGATATAAGGCCCTTTTGCATTTGCAGCACTAACATCTGAAAGCAAAATTCCAATTCAGCAGTCAGATTTTCTCCACGAGGACCCAGAACAAAGGCCTCAGTCACTGCCTGTTCAGCACAGTCAGCATTCATGCTAATCCTAAAGATGATGACTGGCTGATAAACTGAGACACAGGTATTTCAGATTTTGGAATGGAAATCCTGAAATAGACTTTAAGCATAGTGAACGACATTAAAGTGTGTTAAAGTATTGTTAAGATTCTGATATATGGCCACAGAGTTATGGAAATTTGGAGGAGAGAATGAAAACTCATCTATAGATTAGCCCACTGTTTGCAGCTACTGCAATTTGCATGGCATGGATGTTCATCTGACATAAAGAAAAGCCCCGTGTTAACCTAAGTCTAAAGGGGAAATTTAAGCACTGAGTTTCCAATAAATCTTTGAATTTCCTTGTTTTAATTTTTTGAGTTCAGACCCTTAACATTGTTGTCACCCATTGTCTAGGGTGGACGTACCATCAAAGACGTACTGTAAAGACAGTAGCCCTGTCTTGGTCATAGCAAGCTATGTATCGTACATGTGCTATGCGCAGTACATGTATTACTGATATATAGTAGTTTTACATTAATATATAGTACTTTGGTCACCTTTTTCCTCTTGAATGGAATAAAACAAAAAATGCCACAGTATACCAGGGTAGGCGTACAGAAGCAAAACCACCTCCATTCATAAATTAACTCCTTCCCCAGTCAGACTCCTATTTTATAAAACTCACTCTTGTCCCTTCTATTTTAAATGGTTAAATTACTCACTCTAGCCAAATATTTTATATTGCAAATTTTAGCCTGAAGCATTTTGTTTTTATAGTCAAGTTATAAAGCACTGAAGTTAGAAGGTTTTAATAGAAAGGCTGACAGACCCTAAACTACAGCAAAGCTACCGGGTGCCACTATAATAAAGTTCATGTGTAAATGTGTATAAGTCATTGATTTTCTGTAATATGGGAAACATATGCTTTAGTTAACTACTTCTGTAAAATACCAAAGTTTTATAGTTAGCAAATATTACGAAATGGTAACATTAAAAAGGAGATATATGAGGTGATGAAGAAGACTGGTTCTTCATTTTAATACTGATGACAGGACACTTGATTCCCTCTTGAGAGCAATGCTCCTAAGTTCTTGCTTTAGAAATCAGTTTTCAACCTTAAACAAGGGTTGGAAAAATCCTTTAAAAGGGATAAAGTGACCACTGAAACATCACCAACAAAAAAGCAGAAAAGGATTTGTCAGTTTTACTCATTTTTCCCTCCTCCCTCTTCCCCAACTCCTTCAAAATCAAAACAAATTAACTCAATTGTTAGACAAACAAAACTGACATTTTCTTTACTGCTGAAGACTGAGTCTTAAGTTTCATTAAGATTGTGGGTGAAATGAGTGTCGTATACTTAATCAGCTCAATAAAAGACAGTATTCATCATATTTATACTAGATTTCTTAAAACATATAAATAATCATGCATGTATGAAGGCTAAGTTTACCACTATATATTAGTGCTGAAGAACTATATTATACATTCAGTCATCCAATGCATAGAAGATGTAGTTAAAATCTGAGTTTAATGCAAATGGAAACGGGAATTTTGAGATAAATTAGAATGACATACCTCATATCCTGGTATTGATCTAACTGACTCTACCACTGCCAAGGACACCAGGTGTTGAATAAAAGGAATTCTCTGGCCCAGGTTGGAATGTAGAGGAATGGCGATATGCAAAGTGGACAGTGCACAGCCCACGGGACTGAGCCAAACATTTCCACCACGACCTGGGGAGGGAAAGGAAAAAAGTTAAATTCAACTCAAGAAAAGGATTTATAAAAAAGATCACTTTGCTAACGCAGACAACTACAAAAAAGAAAGATTTGATAGTAACCATCCAACAATCTACCGTAAATCCTGTAATGGAGTTTCCAAACTAATTTTGAAGGAAAATTGGTTAAAGTGCAAAGCTTTTTCCTTATAAAAACAGCAGGTTGTTTAATATGCATGCTGCTACTCAATTTCCTACCATGTCCTAAATGACTTGCTTCCAGGATTTTCCTGGTATCGGGTAACATGCACATTTCAAAAAATCTTGCTTTAAGTGAAGAAGTATTTGTGAAGTTGCTCTGTGTGCATCTAGAAAGCCATCCACATTGTGAATCAACTTGACACAAGCTAGGTCTGTAACTGAAAGCCAGGTAACCATCTTAATGCAGATCTGTGCTCAGAAGAGCTTATTAGGCTGAGCACTGTGTTCTTCAAAAAAAAATGAATGTGGCTTTTAAATCAGTGCTAGCACTCTCTTGGGAAAAGGGCAGAACTTGCTCATATTTATCTGAAAAGATTATGAAAGTTCACATGACAGTTCAGGCAGGTCCTGCAGACTCAAGAAACCTCTATCTCAGAGCAAGTCAAGACCCAGTCTTGTTCCAGTTATGCCAAAAAGGAGTTCTGATTTCGAAGTCTGACTTGTATTACACTAAATGTACTGATGGCAGTTTCCATGACTGGGGAGACTTTTGGCAGAAACTAGAAGACCACTAAATCATTTCTGCAAAGCCACCAAACATCCTGAAAATGTTTACTTTGGTCTCTGTTAACTTAGGTTTTGAGATTGAATCCACAGTTCAAGCAGGAGGAAAAGAGGACATGATTATTCTATAGATTATATTATTAAAAATACTGTGTATTATAAAAAATAATGTATCTTTAAGACAGCTGGATGACAATAACATTTCCTATTCCATATGTTTAATACACATTTATTAGCACTAGAAGAAAATTTACTCACCTTTCCCTTGTGTTTGTCGAACAGCAATTGCTATTAAACCCATCTCCTCAGGCAACTCAAACATTAACCTGCCAATTAGGAAAAAAACACCAAAAAAACATGCTTATCAGCTGGAACACTAAGCTACATTCATGAAAATCTAGGCTTAAATATCAGGTAATATTTTATGTTAACATTGCACTTCCATTTATCCGTTTTCAGTTCACATTTATTCTTGACTGAAAAGCATTAGAATATTAAAAAAAGATTAACTGAAAAATGACTGTGTAAAACATTAATATATCTATTACGCTGGCATAACTACTAGCCATAGTTCATTTAAGGTGCCTTCTGATAACATACGTTTTGTATTTCTTCATGTTTTGTTGAAGTGCTTATTTTTTGTGTGTCACTATCTTTAGTAAGTGACAACTGGCAATTCTAGACATTTGTTTCTACTTACAGCAAATTTTTGTTCATATTACAGAATATAAGAGCAGCAGTTTCTGATTATTTAGAAAACCAATATGGTGGCAATAAAGCAGTTTAAAAGATACACTATCCCCTGAGAACTAATTATGATTTAACTACAGTAAATAAATCTACACCTTCTGAGAACTCTAGAGAACACTGGCTTATTTTAGGCTTGTGTTCTGCTTTTAAAATAGTTTCACTTAAAAGAATACTAACTTTCCTCTGGGGATAAGTAGAAAGTGCACTTTAACACCACCAAACAAGTCAATGCTAGACTGGAAAAAAAGAAGAAAAAAACTCTACTGTGAGAACTTCATTCAAGCCCCTTTAAAGAAGATCTGAACTGTACTACGATCCTCCTCCATTTCACATTTTCAGGAAGAGTTATTTAACAGATAAAACAGATACTCCAGATGTTGCCAGCAAAGTAAACCCAGAAAGTGATTTATAGCCTACAAACTTACTTCTAACATGGGCACAAATATCACGTTGTTCATTCATATAAAAGCAACCTTGCCTTGGAGATAAGTGCAGTCCAAAACAGCAAAGAGTACTGTTCAAAATTATTTCCTCTGAATTTCAGATATGCAAGCAAGGTGTTTCAAGTTCTGCAATCAAGCAAGTATCACTGCACAGCAGACACCAGCTGCAAGCAGAAGCATCCCCACTGCTGCTCACAGACAAACACCTTTAGGCAGGCGACAAGCCAAGGAATTACCCATACCTCCTGCTTGTCAGGTTGAAAAGCAAGGCACCAGTAACTCATGGGGCTGTACTGGTAGCAAAATGCATGTAGGAACCCCAAGGTTTCACAATATCTTTCAAATGGCTGACTTGCTTTCATGATGATCAAAATGGGAGGTTATTGGAGGGCTCAAGCAAAGTCTGGACCACAAATGCCTTTACTAATTAGAAACACTTGAATCCAAACTGACAGAAGCCCTAGCAGGCTCCACAATGCTTTCCCACATTGCTCCTGACTCAGGGAGATGTTGTCAAAAAGCAATAGCCAGAAGATCTCTTTGCCAGTCCCCTTCCAGCTCATGTGAAATACAGTTTGATAATTCTTTCATTTGGACCCTATGGATTACACACTGAGACTAGGCTCACCTATCTACCACCAGCCTTTAAGATTAAAAATACACCTCTTCTTATGCTGGGACCTAGGGGAAAATCCTCTGTAGCTCTTTAAGCCCATGAGGTTTCAGCCCTGTCTTCTGGGAACAGCGTGACTTCAGTTACACCACCAAGTTCATGGTTTTGCAACATGAAAATTCGATTTAGATTTGGATGCACAGTTAGGAAGAGATTACAGGCTTTGTCAAAATGCACAGATTTCTCTTACTTCTCCATTTACATGCTGTCACAATGGGAGGAAAATAATCAGAGCACAAAAATAATTATGAATCCAAAACACAGGCTTCTAGAACAAAGAGATATGATTAACGGAACACATGAATGTAGCTATTAGAGGCTTGGCAGCAGGTAACAACATATTAAATGCAGAGACCAAGTTTGTACTTTTAAAGGCCATGAAGAAATTCTTTAATGGATACAACATGGGCAAGTTGTTAATACCCAGACTGATACAGCAAGAGACAGATAGGATTTATTTTTACTACTTCCTGAGATTGTGCTGGAATTACCATGAAGCCTATGATAATAAAAAAACCAACACAACTGCCCCCCTTGACTTCAGAGCTTTGTAAACTGTATGTGCTTGTTAGGTTTTTCTTCTGTGAGAAGCAACTTGGATTTTACTTACCAGAAAGACTAACCGTACGTGCACTTTTTTACATATCAACTTCCCTTCTTTTCTTTCAACTTAATCAGTTGCAGATTTAACAATTTCATTTTTCTGCAGAGCAACTTAATCACAGTGCTCACCACATTTTCCCCCCAAAATATCTGCATTCAAGAAATTCTCTGTTCTTTTTTTGTGCTCTTTAACTAACTTGCTCTACGTATTAAGTCACAAGACCACACTGAGATACAAGAGTAGGGAAACATGGAACGTCTGAAGACAAATTTACCCATCAGGAAGAATATCAGATGGCATCTATATGACCACAGAAGATGATACTAGAATTTTATGTAAATTTCTCCCTTCTGCTTTGAACATTTTTGTGGTATTTTCTAAAATGTGAGCAAGACACTTTTAGTACTCTACAATACTAAACCAGCTGAAATATTAAGAGAGAGATTCTAGCACAATTTTTTATACAAATACCCTCCCCCCACCCCGTAGTGCATACTATGGATGTTGTGAAGAGTAATAAACAACACTTAATTGTTTCATAGAAATTTCAAGTTTAAGGAGGACTCTGTCTTCATGGCTAGTCAACACAATGACTTTTCTTCCTACATGAATGCAAAATGGGAATTAAAACCACAAAAACCATGTTTGAATAATGTTAACAGCCTGACAACTATAAATTTAATTGATGTTGTGGGTTTAAGGTTGAAACTCTCATTAATGCATCCTGCTGTGTTACAGTATTGCAGAGGTATTACAACAGGCAGCATTACGTTCCAGATGTTAAAATACCTGGGCACAAGAGGGTGAGTTATGAACAGATTTCTCCCTTCACTTCAAGTTCCTTGTCTGAAAATCTCACTCTCAAATAGCTTGTTTATAGAGTATTATAAAAGCAACATTAAAAAAACCTTTCAATTTTTAGTCAAATGGAAAGGAACATGCCTTCTGACCAGTTTCTTATATTTTGGACAAAAAGGTGCCCTGAACACTTGCTCTACTACTTTACATTCACTGTTTTTGTCCATTACATCTCATTTGAAAATGAGCAGTGTGCCTGCTAATATTTTTCCTAAACTCTCCTCCATTGCCCTCCATCTCCTTTTCACAGCCCTCAACTACATGATGCTGTGTCTGATTCCACGCTCTGTGTGCTGAACAGCCTGCCACAGGGCGTGCTGGCCAAGAGCATGGGTAACTCTTGAGTCCATGCTGCAATCTCCTTGGCGGCAGCACTGGTCTGTGTCTCTCTCTCTCTCTTACCTGGAAGCCTGTTTTCATGAGAACACGAATACCTGAAGGAGCTCAAAGACATGGAGGTCTTCTGTAAAACAGGCGGTAGACTGACTGAGAGCTGGTGGGCCTCGAACAGAGGAGAAGCCACCAAGAATGACATCACGGTGGGATTTGTTACAGACCACCTAATCAGACGTAAGAAATGGAAAAAGTCTTTTAGAGCAACTTGAGGATGTCTGCAGATCATGGATCCTGATTCCTATGGAAGATTCCCATCTCCTGAAATGTGCTAAAAGACAAACAAAGCGGGATGCAAGCAGTCCAGCTGAATTGTGGAGGATGTTAGGGACAAGCTCTTAACAGAAGTATCAAATGATCAACTGGAATGATCAACTCGATCTGCTACCAACAAGAGAGAGCTGACTGGGGAGGTGGCAATCTGTGGCAGCTTTGACTGTAGCAACCGTGAAGCAATACTGTTCAGGATCCTGAGAGGAATGAGGAAGGTAAGTAACAGAGCACAAACCCTGTATTTCACGGCAGCAGAATTCAGTTTATTCAAAGACCTGATAGATGGGATCTTATGAGAGGCAGCTCCTAGGGGTAAGGGAGCTCAGCAGACCTGGTCTTTAAAGACAACTTTTCATGGACAAAACAATGGTCCATCTCAATACTGAGGAAAATAAGTAGATGAACAAACAGTCTGGCTAAAAAGGGAATTCATGTCTGTGAAAAGAACGTACAAAAGAGATGGAAACAAGGGAAAAAGGAGAAAGGCAGAAACATTGTCCAGACAAATAAGGATGATGTTAGGAAAGCTGAAGCTCAACTATAGTAGATTGCCAAGAAACATGGCAACAGGAACTTCTAGTGCTACCTGATAAGAATAAACAAGGGTAATGTGGACTTGCAGCTGACTGAGGCAAAAGTACAGTGGACACACTGGCTGAGTTACTCAATGCATTTGTTGCCCCAATCTTCACCAACAAGGTCTTCCAGGCCTTTACACATACAGACAGGGTTCAAGGGGAAGAAGTATCAACAGTAGAAAAGGATTGACCTCATAAATCTCTTGAGAAATCTTGACTCATACAAGTCCATGAGAGCAGTTAAGATTCATCTGAGAATGCTGAGAGGGATGGCTGATGGCACATCATGGTCAAGGAGATCAGGGGAAGTCCCAGATGAATGGAAAAGGGTAAAGGTTGCAACCATCTTCAAGATGGTCTTTCACAGCACCCTTGTACCCAAGTTTGGCCATTGTGGTCTAGATGGATGCACTACCAAGATGAGCAAAAAGTATCTGTATTCTGGGACTGAAATCAATGGTTTGTACTCTACCTGTAGGCTGGATACAACTGCAGTTCCTTAGGGGTTTATCCTGAAACCTATCCTATTTAGTATCTTAATATCCTTACCAATTACCTGTAGGAGGAAATGGCACGCACACTAATCAAGTTTGCAAATAACATTGAACTATGAGGATAACTAAGCACTGGAATAGGATGCCCAAGAGAGGCTGTGGAGTATTTCTGTCCTTGGAGGTTTTCAAGATCTGACTGGAAAAAAACCTGAGCAAGCTGGTCTGAATTAATTGTTGACCCTGCTTAAAAGGAGGTTAGA